CCATGGACACATAGCCGCGGTGCCACGCAGGAAGGTAGGGAAAGCGTGTGTGTGTGTGTGTGTATGTGCCTGTGTGTCCCGTCCCCCCACGCCCTGAGAGAAAAAGGCTCGCCGCCGCCCCGACGCCGCGGTGAGGGGCGTGCGGCTGCGGGCAGGCTGCCGGCGCCGCGCAGGCAGGCGGCTCCCCCCACCCCCCGGCTCTTTGCTGCGCGTACGGGGAAAGTTGGGGGTGCGCGCGTGTGTGTGTGTGTGTGTGTGTGTGTGTGTCCGTCCCCTCGCAAAGTGGCTGGGAGGGTCTCGCCTTCCCGCTTTCCCCCTGCCTGCCGTGGGGGTACCCGGCGCTGCTCCCCCTTCTCCTTGCGCCTCTGCCTTGCCCGGAGATGCTCGGGGAATGGACGGGGTTGCCGAGGTGGGATCTTTGAGCCCTTTCCTCGGCCTCCGGAGACTCTCCCCCCATCACACCCCGAATTTAGACACCCCCTCCATCTCCAGGGGGGAGTTTTCTGGAGAAAGGCTGGAACAACACCAGGCAAAGCATCCCCCTGGCAGGGCCCCCTCTTCTCCTGGGGGGTCTAGGGAGAGAAAAGCTGCTCCCAATTACGAGAGGCGCGGAAAGAGGCGCTTTCCCATGCGCGGGCACTGGCAGGGCTCTCTGCTTTGTCCCTCCTTGCCCCGGGATGCTGTTTCAATCACAACTCCTCTGTCCTCTGCCAGCCCAGGGTTGTGTCCACTGCCAACCTCGCAGGCTGGCAGTGTCACCCCCCAGTTCCCCTCTGAGCTCTGGCCCCGGGCTGATGAAGAGTGTCAAAGGGGGTCACGGCACTGAGCTTGTCTCAGACATAGCTCTCCGCAAACCAAGACCCCACTGTGATGAGGCCTGGGGATGCCTTGTAAATCTCATTTTCCTTGTGCCTGGTCTCCATGGGGAAAAACCCAGATCTGCAGCAGCTCGTGGACGTGTTGCCATGCCCAAACCAGTGTTGGACCAACCGGCGTTGGTGGTGTAGATGGTGCTGAGCCACCCGGGGCTGGCCAAGCACTTTGGGGGATGCTGGGAGGTGCCCGCTCCTTGCAAGCTGCAGCCACCTCTGGCCACCGTGTTTGCAGGAGGAGGTGGGGTGTTTGCACTCTGCCTGTTTACAGGAGGGCAGGTCTCAGCGTTGTTATGCACGGGGCTGCACAGAGCCCACGGCATCGTAGCCTGGCATGGGGCAGAGGAGCTTCATGGGGAGCTCCGAGTGGCGAGGTCCCTCCCAGAGCAGAGATGGGAACAAGAAATGGTCACAGTGTCCCCCCCAGCACCCATGCACCCTCTGCTCCATGACGTGGCGCTCTTTTGGTGGAGTGAAAAGGGCCATATCTCCTCTCCGCAGAGCTGAAGATTGACCTTGGCAGCCGAACTGGGACAGGATTCAGGGAGACAAGGGCTGAGCAGTGACAGCAGGGTTGTGCGCAAGCCTGGATGTCACCAGCCGTGGGTGAACAGGGGATGTGGGGTGGAGTAGGGTGCCGGGGAGTGGTCCCTGGGGGTACAGCTGAAGGCAGACACTGCTTCGAGGAAGTTGGAAGAAGAGCAGCTCTGTTTTTTCCCTGCCTCCTGCTCCATGAACAGGAACCTCACGGGGAAAGGAAAACTTGACTTGATTATATCTGATAAGCCACTTTTTCCCCATCCCAGAGAGCTGTCCCGGCAGTGGGGGGAGGAGGATGCTTGGCCGAGTGCGGGCCCTGTTTGTGAAGGATGAATGAATGACTCATGGTGTGGCAAGTCTCCCCGCCGTCTTCATCGTGGCAGCAGCAGCAGTTCCCTTTTGCAGCTGCTGTGTTTATCAGAAGCCATCATGCTGGGTGGGCACCCAGGCAGCCCACACCTGCATCCCCTAGCCTGCAGGTACCCTGCCTCCTCTTCTTCTCCACTGGCTTGCCTGGACCATCCTGAGTGGGGAAACCCCCACAGATGGTGACAGTGTGCAGCACCCTCACCTGCCATGAACTAGCCAAGCGCTCAGTTCAAACCCTCTCTTTCTGCTCCGCTCATGTTCAGAAACGACTCCAGACTCTTCCTGCTCATGCAGGGCTCAACCTCCCTCCGGTTTCCTGCCAAATGTGTTCCTGGAGAGCTTATTCCCCCCGTGGGTTTGTGCCAACATTGTGCTTTTAGTTCAAGACCTCTTCTCCCTCTCTGGTGTTTACCCTGCTGTATTTATAGCTTCCTCGTTAGGTTAAACAAGTTGAAGGATTCTTGCCTCCTCTTCTCCCGCGAGTTTGGCTCTGGAGAAAAACCCCTTGCGAGATGCTTCCCACAGGAGGGAGCAGGTGCTGGCTTGTGGCTCTGCTTTTCTCCCTTTGGAAAATTTCAGCATCTCTCCCAGCTTGTTTCCCCTCTTCTTGTTCAAGCATGGGAGAGGGTGGCTCTGCCCCTGCTGAAGATGTATTCAAGGACGGAGCTTGGATGGGACGGGAGCTCTTCCCTACGGGCAGTGTGCCGGGGCCTTGCCGATATTTGGGATGCTGATACAAAGCCAGCATCAGGAATTAGCCCTGGGATGTCTGGGGTGACTCGCTGGGATGTTTAGAGAGCTTTTGGTTTTTCTAAGTGTTCCTGTGGTTACAACAGCATCGCGTGTGTGAAAATCACCACATCTCTCCGGCCGGGTACGTAGTGACCTTATGACCCAAGTTCTTACCAGCAAATCTCTCTGTACCTCCCAGTGATGGTTTTCTCCTCCCATCCAGTCTGTGAAGGTGGGGAAGGGTGCAGATGCCTTGCAGTTGTGGTTGAATCGTCTTCTCTAACAGCCAGATTCCCATGGATCATTTCCATGGAAAAAGGAAAATTCTTCTGGAAATTAGAAGCAGGTCTGTGGTGTCAGGGATCAGCGTGTTAATAGGAATTATCTCCCGAGTCTGACTGCTTCCCAAGTCTCTGACTCACCCTGGCAGGGGAGTGGGACAGGGTGAGCTTCAGGCTCTTTCAGACAGTCAGAGCACCCACAGCCCCTGGACCGTGTGCCGGGCTCTCTGGTACAGGCGGAGGGCTGGGCTGAAAGGTGTGAATCTTCCTGCTCTCCGGTGGTATGAGTCTGAGACATGGGAAGAAAACCTGGCAAACCTCTCCTTCTCTGATGTTTGGAGTGGGGGAGATCCAGGAGAAGAGGGACAAGAAGTCTATCAAGACTTGATTCACCTCCATCCTACTGGGACTGTGCGCTGTGGTCACATCTGACCAGCAGAGCCTGGGCTTGCTCCAGCAGGGATTGATCATTACTGAAAAAGCTTATGAGGGATTTTGGAAACATCTGGCAAGGGGAAGGTCGCATCTGCCAGTGCCCTGCCTGTACACGTTTCCTGAAGATGCTTTTGGAGAGGACAAGCAGTCTGGAGGGACCTTGGTGAGACCTGGCATGGTTGGATGTGGGGCTGGCCTGTGCAGGTGGTGATGGCCAGGGGACCACAGGGAAGACAGTGCATCGGCCAGGAGACAGGAAGATGCTGGAAATGGTTTGGAAATCAACCTGGGGCTCCCCAGAGAGTGATCAGCTCTGGTCTCCTCCTTTCAATATAGAGATGACCAAAATAGAGACAGCCTAATGAAAACAGTTATGGGAGTCCACAGAGATTGCCTTGTAGGGAGAGGTGGATAAGTCTAGGGCATCCTTCATGAAATCCTGATGGTGGAAAGAAGGTTGTTTGGGCATCTTATGGTTTACCCTGCCTCCTAAATTGAAAATGAGGGATCCTGAGCCTTTTTGAAGAGACGACGACACTGGAGGCACAGCAAGGGGAAGAGGGAATGGGAGAAGCTGCCAGCTTCGGGGGAGCATTATCTCTACAGCAGCTTGAGGAGGGTCTTCTGACTTCAGCAGAAAGGCCCTGCTTCTGAGTCCCATACCACCTTGCGAAGCCCTGAACAGGGCTCAGGGCTGCTGCCTACCATCCTACTAGCAGCCCTAAGGGGTATGGTATGGATGTACCTGCAGAAAAGCACATGGGAGGCAATGGGGCTGGCACAGCATCCCTGCAGCACATACCCGGAGTCTGGTGAAGCAGTGCCCATCCAGCTGTTTCCTTCTTCCTGTGCTTTCACCAGCCCCTTCCTTTGGGACCAACAGCACCATGTGTTTTATCCTGGCCAGAACGATAACCTCAGCTGGAGCCAGGGACCTCGCCAGCCCCTCTTTGATGAAGGTCAGCAAGTGCCACTTGAATTCAATAACATTGTGAGAGGCACAATTCAGCCTTCACCTTCCAGCTAAAGTAGCTAGAAAAAAAACAAAAATTGACATCGTGCGGGGTCTCCATCGTGAGACGGCCCTGCGCCGTGCTGGCGTTGCGACAGGGCTCCCGACAGCTGTGCTGCAACAGCCCCGCAAATGTCCCCAGGGATGGTCAGCTGCAGTGGCCCGGCTTGGCTTTGCGAAAGCTGCTGTCACGAAGGGTGCCCAGGCCAGCTGGCACATCCCCAGACTTTTCTTGCAGGGGCAGGGCCAGCCATCAGCCCCTGGGGAGGTCTGCAGGAGCCTTTCCTTTGCTTTCCATGAGTTTTGCCCGAGGCCTCAAGGCTTAGGAGGAGCTGGTGGACCCAACCAGCTATTGCTCCATCCTTGTCTTGCATGGGCCAACACACAAACCCCAGGGGGTTCCTCGTTGCTTTGGCTGCTTTTGATCTTTTTAGCTCCTGCGAGGCTCCCAGAAGGCTGTTTCATAGCTCCCCCGAAGCTGCTCCACCCCATCTCAGCTTTGAATTTTGCAGCTTTATGGCTGGAACATGGCTGCACCTAGGGCAGCACCCCTTTTCCCTGGCCTCTCCGATCTTGTGCCGGGCTCCATTTCCCCTCTCCAGCTGGGTCTGTGCCCATGGTCCTTGCACCCCAGCACCTAAAAAGCTCAGTGCCTCAGACTTCCCAACTGCTGGGCAAGCAGTGCATGCAGGGAGCAGGATGCAGCCACCCAGTGCCTGCGACTGTGCAGGGAGCAGCCAGTGTGAACTCCGGAGGGGCCGGTCTCTTGGAGCATCCTGTTGACACAGCCCTT